CCACAGTTGAGAAGAAAGATAATATTGTTAACAACTTTTTTGCTCCTTTCAACCCCAAATGGGAATGTGTTTGAAGATTAAGCCGTTACATTGAATTGCCTATTTCTGTGACATAAATATTTGTTTCTGAATATTTTTAATCAGCCTGTTCTCATGTGACCGCGCTAAGTGGGACTTGAACCTGGCCCAAAGCTAATCTTTGTGTTTCTGTCATGTACGGTCTCATATCAGGTGGATCACTTGTAAGAGATAACTACTGTCGTTACAACTTGGGACTTAATTGTTCTTTGCAATGTTGCAGGTGTGTTATTCATCTTGAATTTCTCTCTTTTATGTAAAGTAGTTTCAGCAAGTGCAGAGGAGCATTGAATGCCATCGACAGGTCAGATTGCATCTCTTGCAGTTTGGACCATAACTTCGCAGAATACAGTTTTCAGGGCATGGCAATGTTTTTATGATCTTGTCGACTTATCAACCTTTGTGCCATTCTACCTGAATGTGGAGCTTACTTCAGCTGACTCTCTTCTGTTGATTTACATTTCACTCAAGACTACTGACTGAGCAAAATAATTATTTCACCATCAAGCTGGGTTTTTTAATTCTAGCTGTTCAGTCATTGAGTTCCATCTCTGTGTTCTAGCATTCTTTTATTTTGTAACATTAGCCGTGAGATTACGTCTTCGAGAAGCCGGAACTTGAAGTGGAGGGGGTGGGTGGTGCTGCTGAATATTTGTGTTGTTTCATTCGGTAAAATAAACAATTGGTGTCCTGGGCCAGCTGTGTTTTTTTTTAAAGAAATTTCGATTATACCCTCCAGCCTCCACTTGGCTTGAACCTTGGTTGCTGGTGAGCGAGTGTGCTTATGTGGTGTTTGCACTCGATTTGCTTTGTCTTTTGCTCATTGAGTGAAGTACTGTCTGAACCAATGAATGGTTTGCTACTGGCCAGTGAAACTGCAGTCATTTATCTACTTCGTCCAACTGTTCCTTCATCTGTTTGTCCAAGCCACCAATTCTTGTTTGAAGTGTTAGGTCTGTCTTTGACCTCTTTGCTGTTACCTCGTGGAGATTCCCTGCTTAAGTCCATTGGTGCTTCAACTGTAATCGAGTTCATTTCTATATTAACTTTGGAAATGCCTGTAATATTTTATCCAGTGACACACATTTACAGCAGAGCCTGCTGGGATAGATTATTAATTTTGTATTTTACCAAAGTTAAAGAGGCATGTAAATAACATACAATGACTCCAAGCAACACCAAAAGTGACTCTGATAAGTTAATTTTGCCAGTTACACATTGAATTAACAAGTTTGAAGCAGCACTGATTTATGTCTGCTCAAGAGACAAGGACGTGGGTTAGTTTGGGCTTTGGATGCTTTTGTTGTTGACTATGTACTGAAATGGAGGCCAGTTCTTGGACCCTTTAAATGTGGTCTTGCCAAAGCAGTATTGCTGTGGATTCTATCAGCATCAGTTCTTGCATTGAAACACCTATTTGCCAGACAAGGCTGTCAGATGTATCAGGATGATTCTCTAAACATAAACATCTTATTTTTTAAAAAAACTTGCATTGCACGCATCCTTTCCACAGATCTTGCTTCAGATAGTCTTAGTTCTTGCTGTTGTCAGCTTTAACCACTAAATTGCTGTGTCAATCAATTTAGTTTTCTCAACCGTCAAGTGTCTATACAAGCTTTGGTCACCCACAATCCCGTGAATAGTTTAACTTTTTAAAATGTTTTCTTTAGTTTCTTGACATTGTCTCCACCCTCCCCTCACCTCAAAAACTGGGAGATTAAGCATACTGTAGTTATAAATCAAAATGAGTCTCCATCATTTGAATATTGTCAGAGGAAATTACTTTCCTAAAATGCTAACCTATTAGATTCTTTTGTTGGTAGTTTGTGTCTCTGTAAAACACTGTGACCATGAACAAGGTGCTCAGCCAGCTAACTTCAGTCAACTGCAGGATTTGTTCCACTTGTGTAAATCATTTGCCCCTTTGATGACCAATTTAATCTTTTTGGTAATTGTGTAGTTTGGAACAGATTTAATAAAAAGTACTTTGCAACTACAAATTGCATGATTTATTTTTCAGAAAAAGTATCCTGAAAATCTGGCTTTTGTTTCCACAGATTCTTGATTTGTTGACATACAGGGCAATGGATGAATCAATGGATGCTCAAACTTAAACAAAGCTTAAGAATGAGCAAACTTAGCAGCAGCGATGTTCTAGGATTCTGAAAGTGACCCTAGCTTGTAAACATGGGCTTTACAGATTTGAAAACTACTCCTGTTCCAATTTATTACCAGCCAAGCTCACTGTCTAAGTTACATTTGAGATTTGATCATTCTCATTTTATAAGACCTAGTTATAATCATCACAGGACTTAAGCACAGTATTAGGTGGTGAGTAGAACTTAGTCACAGCTTTGGATTCATATGGTATAATTTTACTGCAAGTGCAGATAGAACTAAAGAAGTTAAGAATTTCATGATGAAAAGGTGTGGATGTGCTTATTGTTAGAGCAAGTTAAAGTAGGGACAGTCTGGGTGATGGGACTGGATATGTTGGTGTTAAATTTAGCTCAGTCCACAAACTGACCGTCCCTTGACAATCAGGCTTAGAGCAGGCACATAGCCCAGAAGAGTTTGTGGATTGAGATTATGTGTGGAGTTCCTAGGCTGAAACAAACAGCAGAGCTTTTAATTTTTTGCCAGTGTTCATGTGGAGTTCTGGTAATTCCATGACTATTTTGTAGACGTGTACAAAAACCATGCACAGTTGAGAAATAAAGCAGAATGTTATTAACATGGATGTGGGATATGTGCCTCTGTTTATAAATGATTACCAAAAAGGCAGAAATATATGAAAAATAATGTTTGGGAGTATGTTTGGGTTCAAGCTGAGCATGAAAGTGTAGCCTTTGAAAGCAGGACCATGGCTAGCTACTGACTGACTGACATTTGGAATGAGGGTATGAGATGTGATGTCACAGAGATAGTCAAAAGACTAAAGAGACTTGAGAAGGACAAATTGACCAAGTGTGCCCAGAGTCGAGGCAGTGGCAACGCTACAGTAATGTGGAATGTCATAAATGACTGACCAAGTAGGATAGAACCAATCAGGACTCAAACCTTGGTCTAGTTACTTGTGTAATGAATGTGAGGGAAAAGGAAGCTAGAAACTGAGCCTAGTATTGGGGGGGGGGGGGGGGGTGGGGGGTGGGGGGTGGGTGATGATAATGTCTGATGAGTGGAGGCTATTATCAATGCTTTTGTGATATTGGCTGAGGAGAAAGTTGAGGATCTGAGAAGTTGGTAGATTATGTAGAATAAAAGAAATTGAGCTGAAAAATGCTTTTAAGTGAGAGGTAGCAAGTGATTCATATTTTGGGGTTGAGATTTGTGAGGCACTCGGAAAAGGTAACACTTTGAGGAAGTTGTTGCACAGGGCTTGATTTTGAAAAGACTGGAGGCAACTATAGAGGAATTTAGAGACAAGGGAATGCAATTTTGTACTAGGTTAGAGAGGAGTTGGACGCACAACTAGTAGAGATGAGGGTAGAACTGAAGAGAGAATTATGAGAGGGAAGGTGGGAGTTTTGAGAGAATGAGGTTAGGTGTGGGTGAAGTTGGAGGGGGGATATTAAGTGAGAGTGCAGTTGAATGGTAGCTATAAAGAGGAATGAACTTGTTGAGATGATAGCTTTTGGGAAGAACACATTTGAAAATCTGCTGGTTAGTTTAATTTATGAATAAATGACCTCATATTGATGGTTTCCATTGCAAGGTTTTTGATACCAGCTTTATGCCAGTTCTAATGTGTCATTCTGCAATGTGGGTGTATACACACACTTAACATCCTTAAAGGGTTTGGTGGGGTGGGTGCTCAGAGGCTCTCTCCTCCTGGCCGGAGAGCCCAGCATTGAATCATTGTCTCAGGACAAGGGATTAGTCATTTTGAACTGAAATGTCTTCATTTAGTCTATTATGAATCTTTGGAATTCTGTAGCCAAGAGGGATGTGAATGGTCTGTTGATGATTGTGTTCAACATACACTTTTCTCTGTAGGGAATCAAGGGGTATGGAAAAAGGCAGGATAGTGGAGTTGAGGTAGAATATCAGCCATGATTTTATTGAATGGTAGAGCAGGATTCTTGGCTCAATAGCTGACTCTTCTATACTGATTAAGTCCATGGCTAATATTCAAGAACATTCAATGAATGTCAAAAAGAACTTGCACAGTTTGAACATAACTCTGAATGTTATCTGGTAAATGGGGCACATGGAAGAGGCACTTCCCTCATGCACAACTTCAAATGCAGTTAAAACCAGTTGATTTTGACAAATCATTCACAGAACCAAACAGGAATAGATGGGTAGTTCAGATCCTGTTTTAAAAAAAAAAGTTAGCTACAGACAGAAAAAAAGCAAGGAGTCAAAAATAGAACAGTTTAGAGTAGTAATTCAGTTTTTAAAAATGTCATGTTTAATTCTCATGTTTGCCTACTTCAACCTGAGGAATGATTAAGTGTCACTGGTGTGAGCCATCATTTTGCAAAACGATTCCAGGGAGATCTGATTTTCAGAGATATTTGTTGTTGACACAATAATCAGTTTAACAATGAATTACAAGTATGTTGTACAAGTGACAGAATAAAAAACGTGCTGCAGATTTGTTTGGAACTCTGTTCAAATAAAAGACAACTCTGTTCGTGGTTTGCTTTTTCCGATTAAAATTGCTTCAAGTAGCCAAGTATGACTTAGAATCAAATGAAGCTAATTTCAATAGCTAACAAAATCAAATGTGTAAATGCTGCAATAATACTTGGATACTGTTATTCGCAGATTCCTTTAATTTATTTATTATAATGCAATTTTTCATATCGCCTTCTACAATGTGCCCTAACTAATCTTTCCCACATGTCCGGATCTATCCTATGTGTGAGATATTGTGATATGGCAGAGTGTAATTGTTTCTATGTTCCTTTGTGCAGTTTAAGAAATGCAAATGGGTTGACAGCAGCTGAGCTTGCCCTGGCTCAGGGCTTCCAGGAATGTTCCCAATTCCTATGCAGCGTGCAGAACCATCAGCTAAATGGTTTCTATACCAATGGCATCGCCAGTGGTCTTTACCGGGATAACCTGATCACAGACGGCCTAAATGGCTACACAGGAACCAACCGGAAGAGAAGCCATGAGGAATCTGAACGCTGTGGAATCAAGAAGCCTAGAACTGATGGTAAGCACTTTCTGATATTATGCATTTTATTCCAGGATATAAGGATTCTAACATCATATGTGAACATTGTAACAATCATGTGAGTAACAAATATTGTCCAACTTGTTGTATTTTAAAACTTTTTAGGAGTCGCACAGCATAGCAGGAGACCATTCAACCCATTATGCCTGTGCTAGATCTTTGAAAGAGCTATCTAAATTTGTTTCACTCACCCACTCTTTCTCTGTGACAAAAGTTCCTGTGCAGCTATTTAGACAACTCGTTTTATAAGTTATGGTTGAATTGGCTTCCAAAACCTTTTCTGGCGTTCTGGATCACAGCAACCTACTGATCCCATCAATTCTACATTGGATAGATTGGACTATCAAGTGAAATTAAAGGAAAATTTCAATGAAAGCTCAAATTAATTGACAATTTAATTGTTTATATTAAAGTTAACTGTAAAGTGAGTCCTTTCCCTTCATGCTTTGGTTGAATATAGGCCTATCTTAGGACTGATTTTGCATTTATCTCATTTTCTAGATTTTGTTTTTCTCATGCTCCTTTGTATTCTTTGGGAAACTTTTCTAGCCCTCCTTCAGTGCTCTACCCTGTCTCTCCATGACTCCATCCCTGTCTGTACTGGCTTCATCTGTCCCTCTTCCACGATCTGTAAGACAATAAGAAATATGAGCAGAAGTAGACCATTCAACTCATTGTCTACTCCAGCATTCAAGGAGATCATAATGATATAATGAACCTCAGCACCACTTTCCTGCCTTTTCCCAATACCAATTAATTCCCTCATTTCTTAAAAATCTATCTTGACCTTAAGTATTCTTGACAGCACAGCCCCTACAGATTTCACAGATTCACAACCCTCTGAGAAATTAAATTTCTCCTCATCTCTTCATGGGACATGTGTTACTTTAAGATTATACCCTCAGTTATATTCTCTCACAGGGGAAAATATCCTGTCTGCAGTAAAAAATCTTACGTTTCAATAAGGTAGCTTCTCATTTTTCTAAACTCCAATGAGTACAAGTCCAACCTACTCAACCTATCTTCGTAAGAAAATCCCTCCATTCGTGAGATCACTCTAGTGAGCCTTCTGTGTAATGCCTCCAGTGCCAGTATGTTTGTTTTTCCTTGGGTAAAGAGACCAACGCTGTTCATAGTGTTCCAGGTATGACCTGAGTAACAAGAGGCTGGAAGAACACAGCAGGCCAGGCAGCAACTGGAAGAAAGGAACAGTCAACGTCTCGGGTATAGCCCTTTTTCAGGATTGGGTAATACCCGAAACGTTGACTGTTCCTTTCCTCCAGATGCTGCCTGGCCTGCTGTGTTCTTCAGCCTCCTGTTTGCGTACTTTGGATTCCAGCACCTGCAGTTTTTTTTGTCTCTGATAGTCTGAGTAACACCTTATATGGTTTTATAAGAGTTCCTTATTTTTATACCCCTTTTCCTTTGAAAGTAAGTCCAACATTCATTTGCCTTCCCTATTACCTACTGAATTTGGATGTTAGCTTTTTATGACTCATGCACAAAACCTCTAAATCCCTCTGTGCTGCAGCTTTCTGTAGTGTTTCTCTGTTTAAATAACATGCAGCTTCTCTATTCTTCCTGCCACAGTGCATAACTTCCCATTATCTCATATTATATTGCATTAGCTAATCGATCCATATCCCATCTCCTTCTGCCATGCTGTCATATTAGCTTTTCATAGATTTAGAATCAGTCACCATTTGTGACCATGCATTCCACATTCTACAGTTTCTTCTAACCAGTGCTTATTTTATAGCCTTCTATCTGTGATGTATCAACAGTGGAAATTTCCCAACTGCTAATCTGTTGCATTCCATTTATTACTGGAATAATTCAAACTCCCCAACCAGATCACATTCAGGAGAACACAGCCCTTTGTTGCTCCAGCCATTCCTCCTCAGTTAGACCCTCAATCCAGTTTTCTTTCCAAGATAAGCCTGCAGTGCATCTTGTCCAGAACGATTTAACTCTTCATCTACTGAAGGCCTCAAACTGCATAAGATGTGTCAGTTGCTTTGATAGTCAGCAGCAACTCTGGCTTTGTTTTCTTTTCTTAATGACTTTTTAAATGTTTTTTTAATCCAGTTCAAAGCTTTATTTTATCTACCCACCTAGCCTGTTTGCTCATCTGCACTGCTTAATTTATAGCTTGCATCATCCCTCGCCCTCTGTCTGCCAGCCAGCCCTCCTGTCTCCCAGTCAGTCCCATACTTTACCTCTGTCTACTATTAGCTACTTTGGGTTTTGTATAAAGTCCTATCCTAATACTAGCAAACATTTCGGGAATTTCAGTGCTCATTACCATTCCTAATTTCAATCTAACGCTTCTTCCTTTTCCGGGCCCCTAGCAAAATCATTCTAATAATGATCATACTGCTGATGCTTTGCTCCTGTGCTCAATATGTGCCATCATTTGAGCCCATTGATTAGGGCTCCAGTTACCTAATCAATGGGCTCACAGCAGTCCTAGTTAAGACCCTGTCACTCGGTTTGGGTTGGGGTATATTTCCACGGTCCTGATTGCTGGTCCTCTTGTTAGTGTGGTACTTGGCAATAAAATGAACAGGATCCTCTTATCTGAGATCATCACAAACAAGTTTTATTTTGATTTTTAAACTATGAACTAGGTGACCATGCTTCTCAGCCAATAAGTGTCAGTGGCTCCTTTAAACCATATATGGACATGTATCCATTTTTTCTTCTCCTTCTGATACTTTGTTTTCTCACCATGCTTCTGCAAATCGATTGGGGATTGCAATGCAAAAAGACTTTGTTAATTTTATAGCAAGAAATCCCATGGGCAGTCCTATCCTTTATATATGTGAGGGAGTCATCTTTCTTTGCTGTGGAGATTACTGACAGAATATTTTTAATAAGGCTAAAATTGGGAGTGGGGAAGGGGAGGTTGCAGCACTGCTCATTAGAAATAGAACCTGTCAAACAGGAACTGACAAAGTAGCCTCAGGCTAGAGATAGAATGTTCCTAAAGATACTGAAGGAAAATGCTTTTAAGAAACTGGCTAGTTCCATGAAGTTTAGAGTAAACCATCTTCTGTTTTAAAACACAATAAGTGGCAGTCCTCTGCTTTTGCGGGATTGTTGTAAATTGTCAGGTGTTTTGTGCTGTAAGCTCGCAGTATGTAGATCTGAGCCAAGTGCAGGTCATACATTAGTTCTGACTGGATTGAAGTCCTGGTGTAGAGCTGATTAGTGGATATTATTGTCTTTCTTTATTGATTGATCACTGCTAATATATGGACAGTGGCAGTTCAGAGAATTGGAATGAGAGCCTTTGGCATATCCATGTGTGCAGTGAATACTCATTTATTTTTGTTCCTCTTCCTTCCCTTCCTGGCGGTGATCTCCTGACCAAACCAGACACTGCCCATGTCGGCACATGCCCTTGCTTCCAGACAAATAGTAGCCCTTTACCAGATGCCCTCAGATTATGGTAAGACACTAAGAGGGTCATCTATTGTCAATTCCAGATGTGGAGTATTGCTGCCCAGTGCCTCATTTTGTTCCAACTCTGATATGTTATAAAGTTCCTGCTTGGGATGATAAACTAGAGTCCCCACCATCTGTCTTAATTACAGACATTTACAAATATATTGTACCAAATCGTTTGTAAATACCACAGGAAACAATTTGAAGATGCTACTTACAACAACATGCTTAAAAAAAATTACTAATCTGGGCAGTTGATCTAACGCTGATCAGTGCTATTGTGGTGATCTAGTACTACACAGTTGGAGGCAAAATATGAAAGCTTTATCCTGATGATGTTTACAAATTGCCACCGGTTGCCATTTTCCCCTCTCCATAATGAATATCTCAGTTAATGGCTATGTGATTTACTCTGCCCTTTTAAATACTTTTGAATTGATTGACTCAGAATATTTTGAAAAGGCCTCCTTTCTCCATTATGTTTTTTCGCTTGCCATACAACAGACAAATAAATATTGATATGATCACAATATGGCTTTTAACTTATGGGGACTGTCACCACTGAATGCTTTAAGGCATTTTAGAACATTTTGACCATGATTGTAATTCAGTTTCATGGTTATCTTTTCAGTAGATTGTTTGTTTTCCATCTTTAAATTCGATCGAATGTTTTAACACTGGAAGTTTAAAGTTTAAAGACGAACCCTTGGAGTACTTGCAAGATGTTTTAAGTATGTTATTCAGCAAAATCTTGCTGAAGGGTTAGTTTAATGCTAGCACCACAAAACACTTTGGAAGTGAATGGAATTCTGGGGATCTTTATGATTGTCAGGAAAGACACCCCATTAGAATTACAGGCTCATAAGGCAGCCCTTTTAACATTAAGTGCATGTCTATTTTGTATGTATGTCTGGTTACAGCTATCATCACATTTCAGCAAAACACTCCACTTGACCTAAAGTAAATCCTTATATACAAGGCTGATGTCGTATACTTAAACATGCAAATGTGCATGTGTGCTTACGGCAGATTCCCTCCTTCTCACAGCTCTGGGCTTTGGTGACTTCAGGACGGCAGCCGATGGCATCACCATGGACAACCTTGAAAGCATTTACACAGAGATCAAGCCTTCGGCTATTTCCAGTGAGGCTGAAGGATTCCCAACTGAGTGCGGCAGCAATCAGATCAAATTGAACCACGCAGCTCAGGAACCTATGTCTGTTAGAGGCCAGGATTTTGAAGTCTTCACGGTCTCTCCCATGCAGACACCATGTCGCTGTATAACTAAATATGCGTATGACTTTTGACATTTTCAGTCTTCATGTTACAAATTCCTTACCTTTTTTAAATGGGATTCATAAACTAGGCAGATGCTCTCTAATGATTCTTACCCACCTCTGCTCAAACCAGGAAACGAGTGGTTTTTGAAAAAACGAATTTCTTAAAAGTGGAGAAACGTTCTCCGAATAGGTGCCACCTTGGCACCTCCTTGCCTGTCTAATATACACGCAGCCACACTCGTATACTCT